CACTCTAGAGGATCCTTGGTGTTCTTTACCTGTAATTGTAATATCATTTTCCAATCTTTTAATCCCCTTTTACCAACTATTTACAAGGAAAAAAAAAGATCTTTTTAAAACATTTCTATCAAATTAATTGAAATTATTATATTTATTTTAGCTATACATTTTTTTAAGACCCTCCCCAACGAACTCTATATTAATTAAATATTACTTTTATTCATTTTAATTTTAAGTTATTTTTTATAAACTCAACACAATTAAATTTATAATATCAAAAGTAATATTTTTTTTAATATTTGACTAGTCAAGACTGCTTAACTATATTTGTTGAGCCAAAATCATCAAAATTAGTGATTTACACATTATTTTAGGTAAAAAATAGGGAAAAAAAAAAAAAAACTAGTTAAATGATGATGCTCTTAGTATTAAGCAAACACACAATTATTATAGAGAAAATCACAATCCAGTGTAATTTTTCAAAAAATAAAATAAAATAAACTCAGTGGTAAATCTTATACACTTTAATAATTAAATTAAAAATATTTTCAATAATCTGTAAAAAAAAAAAAATGAACATATAATTGAAGTGTATTTTTCCCATTATTATATAGGGTAATTTTTTTAAAACTTCCTGATATTAAAGATTTTATAATATAAAGGACATATAATATTTTTATAATAATTAAGATCTCTCAACATTTTTACAGAGAAAATTTGACTCAGAGAAATTCGGCCCTGACTCCGGAAAATTTCAATTTTCACAGAGAAATTTCTCTGATTTCGCCGAGTGTTTTCAAAATTTCTCTGTAAAAATTAAAACTTCTCTGAGTCGGAATCAAAATTTATTTGAGTCGGACAAAATTTCTCTGAGTCAAATTTTCTATCTTTGTGAAGATTTTAAGGGATCTTAGCTAATAAAAAAAATATTTTAGACCCCTCCTACTACAAAAAGTTAGAAATGTTTCACTAATTTTCTCTATTATATATAATAACTTGGCTTAATAATCAAAACACACGAACCACTTTGTTGAATTTGGGGTTTAGACATGAGAAAACGTGGTTCCATGGAGTCAAAGGTTTGGCCGGAGGAGGTGGGTGTTTGTGTGGGTGGGTGTCCACAACACGTGACCATGTCCATCTCATCTCATACATAGCCCATGAATCCATGATCTATGGAGCCTACTACAATGCATGTCACTCTAACCCCACCATCAACTCCCAAAATAATATTGGAGGAAAATGTATATGTATATACTTAAAAACAAATAAAATTTATAAACGGACTGATTAATAATTAGTTTTTACACGCTTTCTTTATAAAAACACTAAGTACTACATCACATTATCAGAAAATTTTGAAAAAATTAATTAATAAATAACTATAGCATTTTCCTTTGGGGGAAAAAAAAAGGGGCTTGAATCAATTACGAAATGTTAATAAAGTTATTCGGCCACCACATCATGAATCTAATCTCATGATCAACCAAATAAAGTATTTTTTCATGATCAAAGCATTCATGAGCTAAATAACATCTGCAAGGCAAGAGATGAATTGGTGTTCTCTAGGCTGAAAATGAGTCAATTAAGCTGCTTGTGAGCTCAGCTCGGCTTCATTCAGTACGGGCTTTCCTTCGCGCTTCTTTAGGTATATAAACGAGCTCTAGTCAAATTTTTAAGCTAGTTCAATAAACAAACTGAGCTTAAGCCAAAATAAGTTCAGCTCATATATCATTTATATATAAAATGTGTTATATTATGCATGCTTAATATAAAATAATATTTAATGAACCTACCAAGCTTGGTTATCGAGCCAACTTTTTTCTTCACTATCGAGCTTGAAATGGGGCTCAAGCATGATTAGTATAAACAAGCCGGCAGAGCTCAAGTTGGACAAATTTTCAAGCTGAGCTCAAGCTTGATTAGGATAAATGAGCTCGAGCTTGATTTTTGAGCTCCATAAACGGATGAGACAAGCTTGATCCCTGTAAAGCTCAGCCCAACTCGGCTCGTTTGAAGCCATCTCACAGATGCAGTGGAAAAAGAAGCTGATAATCTTGCAGGGGCAAGAACAAGACCAATCTGTCATCAGTTCACTAATGCCAAAGACCAATTGAATGTTAGAGAAACAAAGCCAACAAAACCATTCAACGACTCATTCATGGGCTCAACTACTCTGTTATCATTGGTGAATTCACAACTGAATGGTTTTTTTTGTTGCATGACACTGCATTTTCTATTGTGAAAGCTGGTATATCATTTGCGATGATGCAGATGGCGGAGGGAAAATGCGAATTCATCAAGGCAAAGTGGTTCTTGGCTTCTTTCCCAACTGGTGAAGCGAAGGCCAGGGCACTAGCTATTTGAGAAGAAGCAATCAAGCATAAAAGATTACTTTTTCTCAGATCAGTGATGCTAATGGGGTAAAAAGAATCTAAAGAGGAGAAAATTAAGCCACAAGTGGGCTAAATTTGATTTTAAATGATCATGATGCAGGACCAATTAAGTTTCTCTAAATATGTATATATACCAAGTAACGAAATTCTGTTGGCTCATACGGCAGCAATAACACTGTATTGTTTTCAGGCATCTATATTCTATTCCAGGGTCCTCTCTTCACCAAATTGTGGAATTAATTCAACGCTATGTATTGGAAGGGTAATTCAGGGATTTCCTGGTACAAGAATTTGTTGTATTGTTCTGCTTTCCTTAAACAACTTTCCAACTAAATAATACCCAAACCCAGAAAAGGAAAATCCCATCCTAAATCAAATCCAGTTTTAATGACAAGCTCCACCGATTCATGATTCTTCAGAAATAAAAAGCAACTAAATTCTATTCCTTGTAGACAACACTCCAAGCCGAATCAGCATGAGTTACGAATCCAACTCAAAACGTTTTGAAGAGCAACTCCGATTGGTAGCTCGAAATATCATAGGGTCGAATGGCTCGAAATCCCAAAAAGACGTCGTTTTAGGCTTTTTTTGTATTCTCTTACCGGTAAGAGAATAATTTCGACCCATTCGACCTATCATTTTCGAGCTACCAACCATTTTCCTTTGAAGAGTAAACAAAACATTTTCAAGCAACAGAGATCATAGCACATGTCTACGCGAAGAAGGGCACAAGTTTCAAGAAGATACTTTTTTTTTTTTGATTTACGTGTAAGTTCTAATAAGTAGATTTATTATCCAATAGATCTTATGATAATTAATGACATTTTTTTTATTAAACACTGTTAAAAAAAATCAATAAATGTTCACAAAAAAATCACTAATTATAAATTTTAGCGTAAAAAAATCGTCACTAATTTTTAACGTTCAACGACAATTTAAAAAATTCGTCATAAAAAAATCGTTATTATTTGTAAGTTTTAACAATAATTTATAAAAATCATAAAAAAAAAAAAAAAAAACACTAATTGTCAATTTTTAACGAAATATGCAATAAACATCACAAAAAATTATTTTTAGTGACGATTTTACTAGGACTTATTTTCAATAGAATTTGATGAGAATTAAATCTAACTATTAGGACTTATTGGTAGTTTAGCTCTAACTCCCAAGAAAATAACAACTATAAAGAAGCTTACTCCAAATACAAAAGAATTGAACTTTTCAGCATCTCATCAGTCACCTTGTGGCATAAATTTATGATTACTGTGATTATATGATTAGAGACCAGTTTGGAATTACTCAGAGTTCAACAGGTTGACATAGGCTCAATAATTGTTAAAAGCAAGCACTGGATTTTTATTTTATTTTATTTTTTTTGTGTGGTTCTTTTTGAAGTACATTACAGCAAGATATATATGCTTTTTGTGACTCAGAAAGAATGTCAAAAGGACTTTCTCTATCATCCTACGCGATGCATCACATAACACTGAAGTGCATGCCAAGTACAAACTGAGGAAGAACATAATTGCATACCACACATTTTTCTAGATTGCAAGAGGATGAGGCCTTATTGCAGATATAGTTTATTGCACAAGAAGATGGTGTATTAAATCTAATCAAGGAATGAAATATTTATTATTGGACAAAATTTATGGATACCATCTGTAATGGTAACAGAGGCCCAAAGGTAGAATAATCTCTTTCATAACAAATGTGCAACAGGTATACCGACAATGCCATACTATGTCTAATCAAGGAATGAAATAGCTATTATAGGACACAATTTATGGGCACCATGTGTAACGGTAACAGAGGCCCAAAGGTGGAATAATCTCTTTCATAACAAATGCGTGACAGGTATCGACAATCCTGTACTATGGTTTGAGATTTATTTTTATTCATGATGTTTTGGGTTTAGAGTAAATAGTAATGATGCATACTTAAGCTTATCTAGTTTATTTATTTATTTATTTATTGAAATCTAGTTTGCTGTTTCAGTTTTTCACAGTTGCTCTTCTTTTCTTTTTTCATTTTTTGGCAAGGGTTGAAAGTAAGTGGTCTCATTCAATTTTTCTATTGTTTTAAACTGAATATGCTTGTGGCTAATTAAGCATACATGGGTAGTTCCTAAAAGTTTAAAAGTTGAAGGTGTTTGATACCACAAGAAAAATTAAATGTCAAGTGATTTTACTAATTATACACATCTTTAGGTAATTATGATCCCCGTCGCTTCAATACGACAAGTCCCTTCTAGACTTGATCCATGGCGAGGCCAATTAGCCAAGTCACTCTATTGCCAAACCATTATTTTGGGTTGGGGGTTGCTATTAGGTCTGCACAATGTTCAGTATTTAATTATACCAGAGTTGAGTTTTGTCTCACTAGGGGAAACGCATACTACCATCACACTTGTATGTTCAGTATTTAATTATACCAGAGTTGAGTTTTGTCTCACTAGGGGAAACGCATACTACCATCACACTTGTATGTTCAGTATTTAATTATACCAGAGTTGAGTTTTGTCTCACTAGGGGAAATGCATACTACCATCACACTTGTATCCTCATCTCAGTTTATAATCATTTTAAGCAACAGAAAGATTGTTACAGAGACGGAAAAAAGAGAGCACACACGGAGTTTCTATCAGTAAACTGTATTTAGGTAGAATTCATTATTACAATTTGGAGATGGCAGAGATACTATTACTACTACTACATCATCAACAAAACAGCATTAATTTTATACAAAATCTTTATCAGCAGAAATTAATAACTAAGACTCTCTGTTGTTTATTAAAATTCTGATGAATGAAAGCCACTTAAAATTCCACTCCAGTAAACCATATAATAATAAAAATAACAAAATGACTCTGAACAACATGTATAACCACAACTGAAGCCATCTTACAGATTGGATTGCGCAAATTCCAATCCCATAGATTATTATTAGTCTTCAGGTGGTTTATTAGTTCTGTTCTTGTTTCCATATATCAGACCAGTTTCCTGGAAATAATCGAACCAAATAATGATTACAAATCTACACACACAATATATGTGTATATATATATATATAAATCAGATATCTATTGAAAGGGGGGGAGAGCGTGATACCTGCGGATCAGGAATGGGTTTTCGTTTCTCGACGTAACGATAAGGATCTGAAGCTGCAGCGAGAGCTGCCCTTTCCTGGAAAGTAAGAAATTTAGCATGTAAAGAGCACTCAAGATTACAATTGAGAAAAGAAAAGAAAAGAAATATAGGTGAATTGAGGAACATGAAAATAGATAGGGGACCTGTCGTTCTCGCTTGAGGTCTTGGGAGGGCTTGACCCAGAGGAAGTAGGCTAGGGTTCCGGCGACGACCCACGAGGCCAAGTTGGGAGCTCCCCTCAAACCTCCCATGGAATTCCCCACAAACGACCTCACATTCCCCATCCTTCTTCTCCAACTGCTGCTGCTCCCCATTCAATTCAATTCAATTCACCACCCAAAAACGACCAATTCGATATTCCAACAAATACAAAATACAAAATCCAAAAACCAAAAAACAAAAAGATTCGTCTTTTGTTTGGTCTCTAACTCCAGCAGGTGAGTGAGTGAGTGAGTTAACTAGAGTCCTTAACTATAAGCCCTGTTTGGTACAGTTTTTTTTTTAAGTTTATTTTAGCTTTCAGCTTAATTTAAGTTATTTTGATGTGTTTGATTTAGTTTAACAATACAGTTTATAACTTTTTTGTAAGTTAGAAATCAACTTATTCTTTAAGTGGGGCAAGAGAAAATTAATTTATAAATAAAAAATCAGCTTATACTCATAGTTATAAACTATAAGCTATTAAGATATAAGTTATAATTACTTTTCTACAGCTCTACCAAACAGGATCATACACACAGACAGGTAGGTATCTATATAGATTAGGTTTTTTTTTCTTTTTTCTCCCTCTGGAATCAATTTTTTTTGGATTGATTTTAGTTAGTTTACTTATCGATGCAAACAAGTCGCTTCAATTCGGACCAACAAGGAAAACAGATTGGGCTTCAAACCTGTGACCCAATATAACTTTTGGCGCTGGGTAGTGGGTACACATACATACGGCTCACGAGTCTATTACTTACTGGGCTGGCCTCACAACACTTGGACTCCTCGTATTTATGTAGGTCCAAATATTCGAATGTTGAAGTACATACAAAGTCCAAATTTACTTCACTATTTTGTTTCACTTTTTACCCCATGTTTTGGATCTTATACTATACTTGAATATAGATTTGGAGAGGACATGGAGAATAGAAGGAAAATGTAAAATTAACTTGCATTTTATTTAAAATTATATTTTATTTTTTTTAATTCCTTCATAAGGAATGGAAAATGAAAGAGAAATGTGATGTTAAATTCACAAGAAACGACAGAAGGAAGATTTCTTGTTACGGATAGTAAAGCAAAAATGCTTAATACCACTAAATTATAAATCTTAAATTTACCTCAATGACGTGAATTATTACATATCAGTTGTTGATTTGTTTAAAAATTAGAATAAATTATTAATAGGTCATACTTTTGGAACTTATTATCTATTAAGTCATATTAATAAATTTATCAATCTCTCTTATTTTTATAAATAAATTTACAATGATAAATTTATCAATCAAGGCCTATAAATAATAAGTCTAATTAATAAAACTGATTGGTAAGCGTTCTTAAAAAATTAATCATTTAAAATTCAATTATAAATTATATTTTAAGAGTCACTACAATAAAATTACCAATGCCCTCCCCCGTTAGCCTCACTAAACATCTACTTTTTTAACTTGCAAGTTGTGAGTTGATTTGAAAAATTGATTAAAAGTTGTTTTTTTAATTTTTTTTTTAAAAATATGTTAAAAAGTAAAATATAATATGATTTAATATAGGTTAAAAGTCAAAAGTAAATTTTTTACCATCTTACCAAAAAGTTGTTTTTTTAATTTTTTTTTTAAAAATATGTTAAAAAGTAAAATATAATATGATTTAATATAAGTTAAAAGTGAAAAGTAACTTTTTTACCATCTTATCAAAAGAGGCCATTCATTAGTACTTTTTTTTTTTTCTTCTTAATTACAATACGTCACAATACATTTATAGAAGAGCATTAAATACAACACAAATCAAGGGTGACATAAACTTTCAAAATGAGAAAGATTTCAAATAATACAAGAGAATATGATTTACACATAAATAAAATAAAATAAACTTTTGACATTTTAATAAAATGCAAGAATTCTAACTAATAAACCCAACTATAAAATATATATATATTTTTTGAACACAAAAGAAATGATATTCTGAGGCGTCATCACTACATTCGTAACCCCAGTCACAGTCAAGTTTTGATCGGAGTACAACGCGAGGTTTCTGAAAAGAGACTGAAAAATTTAGGATTTTTTGTGCTCTCAAGAATCGAACTTAACTCATGGCCGTGAGAAGATAATGCCTTCACAACTGAACCACCACGCACAATAGTAGCTATAAAATACCTTTCAAAATTAACTATATAAACATTAAATTTTCGGTACCGGAACCATAGTGTTTTAAAAATGCTCAAAATGGCATGTCGGTACCGGAACCATAGTGTTTTAAAAATGCTCAAAATGGCATGTCGGTTTCTTTGTCAACCTTTAAATTTGGAAAGTCCAATCACATGGATGGGTGGGAGGGGACCGCGAGGGGTCCCATTGCACATGAATGAATGAGTGGTTTGAGTCGGAGGGAGGGAGACGACAAAAATGGAGCAGAAAACAATTGGAAGGCTGCAACATTCCAAGTACATGTATGTAATGTAACCCTACTTACTTCCATTCTCTTTCGTTCTTTTCTTTCCTATATTTTTCTGTCCGCTCTTCTTTTTCCTCCAAATATTGATCGATTGATTTGATTGTGACAAGATATTAATATTTCTCAGGTTTATTATCCTTAATTGTGATTGTGAAATGGATCTACAACATTATTTAACCGAGATTGAGGTTAAATCCGTTTGAAATATTGCATGCTAAGACATTAAACTTGGGCTGAATTTTAACAAAGTTGATGGGGGTATTCTATTTATGAGCGCAACACAACCACGCCACACTTCACACACTATTTTTCTTTTTCTTTTTCTTTTTCTTTTATTTTATTTTATTTTAAAAAATGAATAAATAAATAGTATAAGCCATTAAACTTGGCCGAATTTTAACAAAGTTGATGGGGTATTCTGTTTGTGAACGCAACACAACCACGCCACACTTCACACACCATTTTTCTTTTTCTTTTTATTTTATTTTTTTTAAAAATAAATAAATAAATAGTATAAGCCATTAAACTTGGCTGGATTTTAACAAAGTTGATGGGGTATTCTGTTTGTGAACGCAACACAACCACGCCACACTTCACACACTATTTTTCGTTTTCTTTTTATTTTATTTTAAAAAATGAATAAATAAATAGTATAAGCCATTAAACTTGGCCGAATTTTAACAAAGTAATAAATAAATAGTATAAGCCATTAAACTTGGCCGAATTTTAACAAAGTAATAAATAAATAGTATAAGCCATTAAACTTGGCCGAATTTTAACAAAGTAATAAATAAATAGTATAAGCCATTAAACTTGGCCGAATTTTAACAAAGTAATAAATAAATAGTATAAGCCATTAAACTTTATTTTATTTTAAAAAATGAATAAATAAATAGTATAAGCCATTAAACTTGGCCGAATTTTAACAAAGTAATAAATAAATAGTATAAGCCATTAAACTTGGCTGGATTTTAACAAAGTTATGAACGCAACACAACCACGCCACACTACACACTATTTTTCTTTTTCTTTTTCTTTTATTTAAAAAAATAAAAATAAAAATAAATAGGGACTAATTATCACACCATCAATGCACCACCACCACCAACAATTGAAGATCTCCAAGAGGCTTAAAAATTTAATAATGATATATTATTTTTATTACAAAAAATTAATATCAATATATTAACCATATATGTCGTACACATGTCAAAAAATATTATTCCAAAAATCGACTCAGTTGAAGATCTCGTAGTCAATTCATTGTTATATTGTTAAATAACAAAGATTGATATGGGCAACCATTAATATACTAATTAGCCGTGTGTCCTATGCGCGTGAATAATTTCAATAAATATTATTCCAAGACTCTTTTTTTTCTAGTATTCTCAACATGCAATACTATGCTGATAAACACCATGCATAAAAAGAAAAGAAAAAAAATCAATAAAAGTATCTCAATGGTACCATCACGTAAACAATGCCACAAGTATTCATGAAATATCTAATAATTTTTCTTATTGTACAACATGTGATTTGTGACTCGTAAAAATTCGAGTTTTACTTTAAGATAGTGTTTGGTTCACTAGAATGAAATGAAATAAAACGATCATTCTATTAAAATATTTATTTTCATATTTGGTAGATTAAAAAAATAATAACAAAATACATTATAAATAAAAATAAAAAGGTTGTGACCCCCTTTTTGAGAAACCTCCACCACCCCCAATACATTGTGATTGGTCAACTTTTTATTTTATTTTGTTTTTTTGTCCTCTTATTTCTGGTTGACATGTGTTTGTAGAGGTTGTGGAGATAAAAAAAAAAAAGAAAAAAGAAAAAAAAAAGTCTGTATTATTTCTGTAAATAAAATCATCATTAACCATTTCAAGAGAATGATCATTCCATATAAGAGCTTAAAAAATTATCGTATTATTCCCTTCCGGTGAACCAAATAAATAAGGATGATTTTAAGTATCCGGCAAGATTAGCGGGAAAATAACAGAATGACACGATGAAGAGGAAGAGGAAGAGATGCGTATGAGAAGAAACACATACATCATGCTTCCACCATGTACTAATTTAATATAACCATATGGACTTTCAACAACCCTACTCTTCTGTAAATCTCGGACTGGGCTGCAACAGTCGAGAACAATTACGAGGCAAAGCAGAACACGGCATAAGCACTTGAAAAAATTATTCAGGATTTCACCTATAACTGATATGCGCGGATAAAGTTCATTACCTACAACACACTAACTTTAAATATACATCATAAATATTTCATTTTCAATGTTGAAATTCTGGTTAAAGTTTTCATGCTATCTTCTATCTAGAATTATTGCTTGAGGCAGATAACAAAACTAACACCAGGTACAACCCACACAAAATTGAAATAGTTAGATACTAATACCAAACAAAAAATATATATCCATCATCAAATTCAAGTTCTGAGAATGTACAAAGTAATAGGGGAAGAAACAACAATTGATCCAGCTCTGAAACAATGTGGCCCCCCAAGGACAAATAATATGACAGAAACAACTAGAAAACAGGACAAGCTTCAAATTCACAATTGGAAAGCGATACAAACCAGATGTGTGGGGCCTCCAATGGTCACAAGTCACTAGGGAATGTATGTCATGCTTAGAGATATAGATAAAGAGTAAAGTACAACCAGGCAAGTTAGCACCATCGCATGGTTGCCACCTTTACAGCTACATCAAGAAGCGATCTCACATGGGTATCGTTCCTCTTCCCCAATTTTGCCTTCTCAGCCTCTTTGAATGTTTAACCTTCTTCTTTCCTCTTAAGAGGCAATTTTTGAGACATCTTTGCTTGATCTGTTGTATTTCATGTGGCTCTTGACAAGCTGCCCAGCTGCAATGGCGGACATCAAGGAGAGCTCCCCTGCCAAAACTGAACCAGCTACTATGGTTGCTAAAAGCCTTGAGTTCGATCCTGGGGACTCCTTGCTTGCACCTTTCACACCAAGAAGGTTCAGGCAAGCCGATTGAGATGCAAGTTGAGTCCCACCTCCAACTGTGCCCACCTAGAACAAACAAAAAACCAAAGAAGTTTCAGTTATAGATAATGGTTTAAGAAACTCATACAGAAATACAGTTCAATATTCTGAATACATTCTGGTTCCCTAGAAGTAAAAAATATAAGTAGCAATGCTTCACAATTAGTTGCAACATGAAGTGATAATGTAACAGAAAAGCACTCTGCCTTAAAGGTCCACAGATGAGGCTACACAATGCTTGCAGCACAACAGTACAGAACCAAACAAACAAAAAAACACGATATTTGGTCAAGATGGCAATATAAGCAGTGCATTGGATTTCCCTAGAATCCAATTTAACAGAACTCGTAGCAAGATAAAATCAGAATCATCAAGAAATGGGAAGATCATATGAAATATCGAATTACCTCGATGGAAGGCATGGTCACTGAAATGTGAAGATCCTTCCCGTCATTGACAGCTTCCATCATAGTTATACAGTGGGAACTCTCGATATTCTGTGCTGGATCCTGTCCAGTGGCTATGAAAATTGCAGAGACTATATTGGCAGCATGGGCATTGAAACCACCAAGAGCACCAGCAACAGCAGATCCAGCAAGATTCTTAAGCATGTTAAGCTCTACGAGTGAAGGTACGGTGGTTTTCAATACCTTCCTAACTACCTCTTCAGTGATGATTGCCTCACAAACAACTGACTTTCCACGCCCTTCGATCCAATTAACTGCAGCTGGCTTCTTGTCTGAACAAAAGTTCCCTGGACAAACAATCAAGTGATGCATGACACGTTACAATAGCACTAAAAGAGCTTATCGAGTAAAGCCAGTAAAATGGAATGGGCATAATGGATGAATGACATAACTTGGAAAGTGAAATAAATAACCACATAGAAAAAGTCAAAAACAAGGGCCGCATGTGTCCACAAATTCAGAGAAACAGAAAGCTAAATGTTGACAAGTTCACCTTACCAATAACAGACACCAGTGATATAACCATACATATATGATCAGAATTAGAAAGCGCCAAAATTAGACAACTGTAAACCATTAACAGAATTATTGCAGACCCAAACAGATTTGTCACTAGTCTAAAATTTTGAGCAACAATCCACGTTGAGAAGGGAGAGGTGGAGGGAGGGGGAGGAATTACCAGAGATGCCGATTACATCCATGTCTGGAAAATCATTTTGAAGGAAATCTAAAACATTCTGAACACCTTTGGATACCATGTTCATCCCCATCGCATCCCCTGTGCTGCAGCTAAATCTTATGTAAAGGTTTTTCCCCGCAATAGAACAGTGAATGCCTTGGAGCCTTGCAAATCTGCTCGATCTGCTATCAGAGAACACGTTACCGTGAACCGAAAGACCAGAAACTGTTGGAAAATGCTAAAAATACAATATCCTAATTACAAAAGCATAGAAGATTGTACAAAGTAACCCCATCAACATCAGAATACGTCAAATTCAAAAACAGAAACAAGTGAAACACAAAAGCCACAAATATAAGCAATTCCCCGTACATATAGATATATACAAATCAAAAGCATCAATAAAAATCTTGCAATTCAACATAAAACTAGATGAAAACAAATCTTGAAACACCCCCACAGCATTCACCATCAGGGAAGTATTTACGTCATTTGGTGTAATTGATTGGAATGTATTGACAAATCTATGTAGAACCATGAAAAAATAGTGCCAACTTTATTCTCGGGCACTTTTTTTTTTGTTAAATGTTCTCCGCTTTTTATAGGATTCCTCAAAGTTAATTTTTCTTGCATTTAACATAAATCAGATTCACCATTTTTCAGGAAAAAATGTAAAAATTATTGAGCGTCAACCTCTAAAAGATGCGAAAATGCCTATCAACATCAGTACCTTTTCAAATTAAAAAAAAAAAAAACAACCAAAACAGCAAACACAAAGGCAAAGGAAATGCTAACCATTTTAGCATTTGATTGATACCAATAACTCAGAAAAGGAATTAACAAAGGAAAATACTATAGCCCTAACCTTGTTACCAAATAAATGATCGGGGTAAAAAATTTGATCATTTATTTGATAAAAAAAAATTGGTATCCTAGCATTATCCATTAACAATTCAACCTGTGACACTGTGTTTGGCTCGGGATTTGGAAAGAGAATGAGAAAAAGTGTGAAACTATATATTTATATGATATATTTTATTCACATTCCATTTCTCATTCCATTTCCATTTCCAAATATCTCGTCCAAAGCCCCAACCCAACCAAACACAGCGTGAATGTGATTATGAGTGAAATTGAAATTACTGGTATAATTGAATTCGAAGGAATCTTACTTGTTAAAAAACAAGGACAATGTATCGAAATTAAGAGGATCTTCCAAGAAGAACTTCAAATCCGTAGCTCTCTTCGCCGTGGAAAACCTGACAACAGGAGCTCTTGTCATTCCATCTCTCAAAAGAATGCCTGTAGCACCACCACAAGCATATATCGCCTTGCAACCTCGGTTCGTACTCGCCACCAAACATCCCTCGGTTGTTGCCATTGGCACCAAGTATTCGCAACCGTTGAGCAACAAAGGCCCCGCAATGCCCACCGGAATTTGCACAAAACCGACTGGCATTTCACAACACTGCCCCAAAATGGAATCGTAATCGAATCCATCCAACGGCAACCCAACTAGAGACCTCCCTGTGAGCCTCTGCACCGCCTCGCGTCGAATCGACGCCGCACGGTAACAATCGCCGAGTTTTGATTCGAGCGAATAGGAAGGAATCGAACCAGAAACCACCGATTTGACGATTTCTTCATCCGAAAGCACAGGCAGCGGATCCATCAGTTTGGGCACAGGAGGGGGGGCGGCGCAATCAACAACGGAAGAGGAGGAACAAGGAAGGAGGCGGCGATCTTCTTCGAGGATGAAGCGGTCGTCGTCGACGTCCCAGGCGTCGTGAGAAGCACGGGTGATGAAGGATTGGACGAAACCAATGCCGAAGAAACCGAGGAGGTAGATGAAGGAAGCGACGAGGGAGGCGATGGCGGCGAGTTCGGAGAGAGTGACGACGTGGAGAGGGGTGGAGGACCGGATCTTATCGCGCCAACGGTGGAGGAGGTAGTAGGCCACAGAGAAGAAGAGCGTGAAGAAAATGCCGTTGGTCAGGTATAGAGGGAGAGGTAAGGCATCAGAGGCTTTTGGGGATGAGGAGGAGGAGGAGGAGGACGATGATTTCTTTTGGTGGAGACGGCGGTGGTGTTGGTGTTGGTGTTGGTGGTTTTCAGGGAGGGAAGGTTTAGGAGGTATCCGGCGGACGTCCATCCGGATATTCCGGCGGAGAGAAAATGGGAGAGAGTGAGAGAGAGAGAGAAAGGGAGAGAGAAAGAGAAATGATTTGTTAGTGGTAGGAGAGTAGGGAAGGGAGGAGGGGAGTGTTATGCATTTTTTTTTTATTTCAAAAGGGACGGATGAGCAAAGATTTCGGAACTTGGGGAGAGGTTGGTTTAAATACAATTACAAATGGTGGTGGAGTGGAGGAGAGAGGGTGATGGAAACAAAAGTGTGCACAGTAAAAGTGATGTGCTGGCACCGTGTTGGTGGTGACAGTCTCAATTTTTTTTTTCAAAATTTTAATTTTAAAATTAAAAAAAAAATTAATAATGTAATAAAAAATATATATATATCAATATACGTCACATTATGTATGAGTTTCATTTTTTACTACGCCATTAGAATTTTTTTTAAAATTTTTAATATAAATTAAAATTCTCTATTTTTATTTTTTTCGGACACCCTCCCTTCTTCACCCACACGTGGTACTTGCACGTGCTACACGGGCTGTCACATGGCAGCGGCCCATTCACCATGTTTTTTTACCGACGTTTTTAAATGGATGTTTTGAGAGGATTATGATTTAAAATTAGTTTAATTTTTTAGTGTATTGATTTGGTACTGAGCCGGCACATTATTTAGTTGGTTTTTTTGTTTAAATTTTGCCCGTCCGATTTAAAGCACTAAATTGAAAATTTTAAAAACATTACAAATGAGGTGGCAAGTACAAGAAAAAAAATAAAATAAAGGCCAAATTATCACATTAATAATAGAATCCACATAATGTCATGTCATTAGTAATACATTAATGATGTTAAATTAGTGATACAAAACATTTTTCAAATTTCGCCTAACTCAAGTACTAAACCTATTTATCTACACACACTCACATATATATATATATATATAATATTATTTATATTAACATATAGGGAAATGCTAGAGAGCTCTAAATCTAGAGCTCTAATTTGAGCTCTAGTGATGTGTCAAAGCAAAAAAAAAAAAAAAAAAAAAAAAAACAAACAAACAAAATAAGACACAAACATCACATTAGAGTGGGTCCCACCTTCTCATTAGAGCTATTAGAGCTCTTATATTAGAGCTCTAAAGCATTTTTGTAACATATATTCGCCTTATTACTCTATTACAGATTATGATTTATAATTTGATTTTTTCAAATTACCAACACCCCCTCTAGGTTTGATCAAAATACGGATTTTCTCTAGGATTTGGGAAATTACAAATTGCCCTCCTGAGATTTATATTTGCATAACAAATATGGCTCCAACCTGAATCAACCCGAGCTACATTGAGATTGAATTAGGTTGGTTTTAGTGCATAATTGGTTTAATTGTGGGTTCAAAAATTTGGAACCGATCATGATTGGATTAGTTCCAAATTTAGTGTCAAATTGAATCAAACAGATCCATGAACACCCTCTAATTGGGGTTAACATAATGCTCCTAGAATACAAGAAATATATTATGTGGTTAACATATATCTCATCAATTATCTAATATATTTTTTTGTATTTTAATTATGTATATTTAATATTATTAAAATAAAAAAATGAAAAAATTTACACTGACTTCAAATAATTAAAAAAAAAAACACACACACACACAATATAAGGGAATGAAAATGTCAACAACAATAAAAAAACAAAACAAAACAAATCTCATAAAAAAATGAAAAAATTTACACTGACTTCAAATAATTAAAAAAAAAAAAACACACACACACACACAATATAAGGGAATGAAAATGTCAACAACAATAAAAAAACAAAACAAAACAAATCTCAAAAGTAATTTTTACACATTTTGTAACAATTTTATATAGATTTGTATGCTTTGCACACATTTTTTATTTTGTATTTTTATAAATATAAATAATAGCCTTTGAATAGACCTCATCTATTCTTCTTACAAAACACTTTGATATCTTATTTTTTTGATATTAAGCAGTGTTCAATTTATTTTTAAAACTTATGTTGTTTTATGAAGTTGTATTTTAAATTTAATTAAAGTTGTTTTTTTTTATTATACAATAGAATATTAGAGAATTAATAAGTCACTTGTATTTTTGTTAAAGTAGTATTTTACTTAGTTATAAGAAATAAATTAAAAACAAACTATATTTGATAAATAAAATTTCAAACAACTCAAATTTGGTGCATGTGAAATGCATCGCTTCTGGTCTTCTTTTTCTCACACATGCATCACTTCTAGTCTTCTTTTTCTTAATGGGTGACTTTTTTGGTCCAGCTGATCTCCTTCCTTGTCACATGTGCATGTACCTTTCCCCTATTGAAAATGACTCAATCGATCCTCTAATACATATATTACTTATTGTGAGGATAAATTATCAATAGAACATGTTTTGCCTCCGTTTAGAAAGTGAGTTGATTTTTTAGTTTTTTGATTTTTTTAACTATATGAGCCCTCAAAAGTTTAGTTTGGGAAGGACTTTTGACTTTTTAGCTTTTTTGATTTTTTTTGTGAGAGAAGAGTATAATGATTATGGGGTTGGATGGGATGTTTTGTCTGTTGTGGCTCATGAGCCTATTCTGCCTTTTATGGCTCATTGAGCCAAAAAAGCCCATTAAGTTTTATTGATAAATTTATCAATTTTTTTTATTTTTATAAATAAATTTATAATGATAAATCTATCAATCAAAATCTATAAGTAAATAAATCAAATTAATAGAATTAATTGATAAATATCTCTTGTTTTAAGCTTATAATGGCCGTCAATTTAAAAAGCTTAAACAATTTATTGTGAGTTGGAGGCCAATAATAATAATAAATAAGACAAAATCATTTATTTATTAACTTTTATATTTTTTTTTTCAATTTAGTGAAGTTATTTGGACACTCTGTTCATAAATTCAAATTTAAATTTTATTTGTTCAAAAATTCATAATTCAAAATATTTTGTCAATAAGGACAAGTTACTATAAACTGACCAAACTACCCTATATATAAATATATATGTTATATGGCAGAAATTAAACCAAACCAAATCAAACCATATCTCTCTTCTCTGTTCTCTCTCTCTTCATTCCAACACCACCACCACTGTCATTTCCCCAAAACCGTCATCACCATCCTCCATTCCAAGAAGAGTTGGAGCTTCAGAGCTTCGTTCATGGTGGTTTCGGCCTATTACAAACGCAAATCGACACACTGCTGTTGAACCTGACCACAAATCACCAACCACTGCTCATCAACATCGGAGCATGACTCTAACAGTGGTGTTGTAGATAACATATTAGTAAGAATGTTCTGATAAAATGCAATAAGGGTTTTGAGATGAAAGAGAAATGTGATAAGTTCATACATAGTTTGAGTGTTTTGGTATTAGCTAAAACAAAAATAGAATTCAATCAATAATTTTCAAATCTAAAGACCGAATTTAGTACGTATCCCAAAGTTATTAAATATGTTACTATCAATTGGTTAGAGCCATACAATAAAAAAATTTGTTGCAGCTTGGATAGACAGTACTACGCACTTCAGAAATAGCACTACAAACAGGTAAATTATACTCATTACATTTTTGAATTGTATAATTTTTGTTATTTGTATATTAAATACCAAAATATACGTACTTGTAGGGTGGAAAGTTCTCACGCTAAATTGAAGAGGCAACTTGCTTCTAGTTGCAAGAAGTCTAGCACCGCCATCAAACCCACCGCCAAGGCCACCGACTAGCACAAATTTGTCAAGAGAGAGGAAAAAAAACATCTAACCAAAGCTTCATCTAGATCCGTATATGGTCCTTTAGATCTGCCGTTCTCTCTCTCCTCTCTGTTCTCTCGCTCTATGTATATATATATATATCACTCATTCTTATAGATTACACTATTGAGAGGGTAATTTGTCTGAACCACAATTGGGATAATTAAGAGGGTAATTTGTGTATACCATAATTGGGCCGAGCTAGATGAAATGGATTGTGCATGTTGGGCTGTGTATTAGGTCGAGATAACCCCAATAAGTGGCTCGATTTTGGGTCGACCCTATTGCAGACCAATTAAAGGTGATTGCTGGATCTTGAACTACGTTACCTAGACAGTCCACAGCAGAGCCGTGGTGTTTTATTGCTAGAAGGTCAAGCTATACGTAGCCCGGTAAAACACGGTGTGTATGTTGGTGCGGTTCAGAGCAGGATATCCCCGTTGGGCATTAGCAGCCAAACAGAGTATGTCCATCTCACTTGGCTTGTAGTGATGAGTGTGTTTTAAGGATAAGCATTATCCTTGGGCATGAGACTCCTAGGAGGACTCTGTTAAGGAGAGTAGAGTCCTACTAGGATTGTGCAAACCATCTCACTAGGTTAATAGCGAGTAGGTTGTTATCAGGATAGACACTCTTCACTGGGAGTGTGATTCCTAGGAAGACTCTTATAAGGAGAGTTAGAGTCTTACTAGGATGGAATTAAGGTGAAATCTATAAAAGCTTATGACAGGACCTATGTACAGGTATCGCAATTCTTATTCTCAAATACACAGAGCTTATTGTCTATTGTCTACTTGCTGACTTAGGCATCAGAGAGGTTTCTGGCGCACATCCACCGACTAGCTCACGTTTGTGTTTTCAAGTAGTAAAGCGACAACGTTTGGAGAAGTACAAACTTGGTTAACAGGATTATACGAGAAGATTATTTCGTGCTCGTACAATTGGCGCCGTCTGTGGGAAAGATGATAGAGAACAAACCTTTTGTTTGAGTTTTGCTTCAATTAATGTCAATGGCACATAACGAAGACTTGCCACATTCTGCTATTGATGGGTAGACCCCAAAAGGGAGTGGGAGACGTGAAGGTCTGCCTTTTGTTCCGCCCATGGCAGAATTGGATCCCCAATGACGGAATCCACGGAGAGACGCGTGAGAGAGACGAGGCTTAAGTCCTCAAAGCCCTGATAGACAGAGAAGGAGGATGGACCCTTGGGTTCTTGAAGATCGTGTAAGGGAGCAAGACGAATTGATAAGGAGAATGGCGGTTGACATGGAGACGATGAAGCGCCAGATAAAAGGCAAAAGGGTAGAAGAAGAGACTGACAAAATCAGAACGCACTCTCGCCACTCAGGAGATGGTGACAGTTAAGTCACACCATCACAAACTGAAAGCAGAAGCCCCAGGATAGGCGACAC